TTTTTTTTTTTGCAGAACCGGGGATTGAACTCAGGCCCCTGCACTTGCCAGGGAAGCGTTTATTCCACTGAGCTATCTCCCCAGCCCCTATTTTTACTTATCTTTTTTGCAGTGCTGGTGATTGAATACAGGGCCTTACACACTAGCCAAGTGCTGTACACTAAGCTACATCCCCAGTCCTGTCTCAAGGTTTAAGCATTCAAATCCCATAATTTCTTTATTCATCTCCTATAATGAACACCTTTTGTTTGTTTGTTTTAGTATTGGGATTTGAGCCCAGGGCCTTTGCACTGAGTGAGCTATATCCCCAGTTCATTTTTTTGTTTTGACTTTGGAGACAGGTTCTGGCTAAGTTGCTCATGCTGGGCTCAAATTTATATTCCCTGCCTCAGCCTCCCAAAGTGCTAGTATTTCAGGCATGGATCACCACCATGAGCCACTTTAATATTAATGTTTGTTTCCTAGTTCAGTGACTGCCTTTATTGTAGGATTGTTGGTCTGCTAGCTCAGTGACTGATACCAGGATCATAAAGCTTTGCCTTTAATCTTCAGGAAACTGTAGCTGCCAGGCTTTCTGTTTCACTCTTGCGTCACACCCAGCTACTACCTGCAGACAAGGCCTTCTATGAAGCAGGCACTGCCACCAAGGTGAGTTGAACAGGAAGGGTGGGGCTAAAGAGGTACAGAAATCCAGTTGAAAGATAGAATATCCCTGAGCAAAGCTGATTATGGGTTTGATGTTATGGAAGATGAAGCTGTCTTGTATCTGTGCCTGGAGTTTTCTCCCGGCCTAGAGAAGTAGCACCCTGCTCAGCTTGCTCACTCACATGTGCAACTTTTCTCTGTTGTAGGCTGTTGGCTGGGAGAACATGGCCTTCATTTTCCTCAACCGCTTTTTGGATCTGACTGACGTGAGTAGGGAAGTTGTACCAGAGGTTAGGTTGTGCCTGTCACAGGCTGTGCCTGGCTCATGGTTACCCATTCTGCTGCAGGCCATTGAAGAAGGTACACTGGATGCCCTTGACCACTCGGATTTTCAGGACACAGACATTCCCTTTGAGGTGTCCCTCCCAGCCAAGCAGCATGTACCAGTAAGTATGGAAGGTTGAATGGCAAGGCCTCACCAGGAGTGCTTTGAGAAGAGAGCCTTGGTCTACTTACTGTCTTTGCAAGGACCTCACTACTCAAGTGAACATCAAAACAGTGACTTTGTGCCCCGTGCAAAGCAGATCATCAAGACTGAAAGCTAGTGTATATGGATGAGGGCTTAGCAAACTCCCTACCCAACCCCCCCCCATCCTGCCGTACTTTAAGCTGCTGCTTGCTCTGTCCTCAGGAGACCCAGAGAGAAGAGGTCCGAGACTGGGTGCTCACAGTCTCCATGGACCAGCGGCTGGAGCAGGTTCTGCCTCAGGATGAGCGTGGCACTTATGAGGCTTCCCTAGTAGCAGTGAGCACTGGAGTTCGGGCATTGCCCTGTCTCATTACAGGTATGAAATCTGTAATCGTGTGGTAGGGTGGAACTGGAGGGATCAAGAATCTTTCATGTTAATTTAGTAAAGGGTGCACAAGGTGGGAGTCACTCTACCCTAAGCTACTCTTCTTTCAGTGTCCACCCTCAATCTGTTCAAACCCTTGTTCATCTTTTTTCTCTTCCCTTCAGGTTACCCCATTCTGAGGAACAAAATTGAATTTAAGCGACCAGGAAAGGCTGCTGACAAGGACAATTGGAATAAGTTCCTTATGGCCATCAAGGTTAGAGGGGGAAATGTAAAGGCTGAGGTCAAGGGACAGAACTGGGGGAGGGTACCTGAAAGGTGGCTAGTGTACTCCAGAAGACACATGCAAACCCTGCAATGGACTGATTTTCTTTGCTCCAGCTCTGAGGGGCACCTCTGTGTTCTCTCCTTTGCTCACAGACCTCCCACAGCCCAGTGTGCCAGGATGTACTGAAATTCATCAGTCAGTGGTGTGGAGGGCTCCCCAGCACCAGCTTTTCCTTTCAGTGACTGGGAGAGCTGAGGAATAGTTTGGGCCTCTTTTTCATTAAAGTTTGTTAACTAATTGAAACCACTGTGTTCTCTGACCATAGCCAGCTGCAGCACTAGCACGGTACCCTTTCCCTTCAAAAGAACTGTGATCAAGTAAAAGAAAAAAAAAATTTTTATTACATTAATTTATGTCCTTCTGGAATCAGGGCCCCTGGCTTAGTGGAAAAGCACTTGTGGGCTGATAGCCCTTGCTGACAAAACAAGAACCAATCTGAGTCGGGGGAAGCAGCAGAAAACACCGTGCCATAAACCAGGCAAGGTGGCACACGTCTGTAATTGCAGTATTCTCTGAGGCTGAGGCAGGAGGATCCACAAATTGGAGTCCAGCCTAGGCAACTTGATTCAGCAAAACTCTGTCAATAAAAGGGGGTCGGTGTAGCACAGCGTGAAGGCCCTGGGTTTAACGTCCAGCACACACGCACACACAAAAAAACCAGCCACAGGCTTGGAATGCTTCCCTGCCCTCTACTCAAGTCCAGCTCTCCACCCTCAGAACCCTTTACCTGTCCTAAACCCAGGTTTTCTGTGATGCTCGCGGTTCATGATGTTCTTTCAAAAGCTTCACATTTTCCTGCCATTTACATTTAGGAGGTTCAAGCTCTGTGAGTTCCTCTAGCTACAGAAGAGAGTGTGGTTAGCATCCTGCCTAGAATGATACACACCAGCTCCTTTACAACACAGCCAGACTGCATGGGATGAACCCTTCCTTCTCTTCTTCCTTACCCGTGCCTGAAAGTCTTCCTTCTTGCAGGGCCCAACTCCCCGTAGGGTGAGCGCAGCCACACAGCAATAACCAGATAGTGCAGCCTCAGCTGCAGACATGAGCAGAGAAGGGATCCAGAGAGCCAAGGCCGTGTCCTAAAAGCGAAAAAGATGGGATTCTAGGAGGGACTGGGACAGGAGAAATAAAAATACAGAAATTAAAAGGGCAGGGCCTCAGTTTTATGGAAGGTAAGAAGGAAGAGAATAGTCTTACAAAGATTCTCGTGGGATCAAATGGGCAGTCGGTGTAGCCAGACCCCTGGTCCAGAGGTATGGAAGGATCCAGCAGTCCTGGATGGCAATCAGCAATAAGACGGCGGCCACCGTTAGCCACGGTGAGTGACACTGCTAGGAGGAGGCCCACGGAGCAGGCAGCAGACACAAGCAGGTTTGCCACGGCCAGTGCCAGCAGGACCCAGTGCTGGTGGGGCAGAGGCCAAGTTGAGAAACCTGGGCCCCACCAAGTCTCCCACTGACGAGACCCTCGGTTTCTCTGAGGCTGCTCCTGCAAGCTGAGGATAACCCCCCACCCCAGCGCGGGTGCCCTCACGCTCCGGAAGACTCCTCTCACCAGTGGTGGGCGAAATAGGTTCCTGGATGCCAACAGGGCCACAAGTCCCACAGAAACGCTCTGCGGAAGACATTAAGCCTTTGGCTCTCTGGCTATAGGCATGTCAGACCGGTCAGCCCGCCCACCCACCGTTCTCACCAGAAGCCCAGAGCCCACGGAGATGATGTTGGCGGTGGTGTACTCCGGTGTGACGGCGCCGCGGGGATTGGCCACATGCCGCAGGACGGTACCATGCAGCACAGCCCCCAGGAGCAGGTTCAAGTGTCCCACCAGAATCAGCGCGAGGCCCACGCGCATCAGCCGCCGGGGGCCCCGGAGGACATCTGCAAAGTAGGGGGAAGGGCAGGCCTAAGCACAAAGCCGGGCGGCCAGGGGGCCAGGGCCATGCAGCAGGGCCGGCTGCAGCCCTGAAGGCGGGCTGAGGGGTCTCCAGAACAGGAGCAAAGAGGAGCGGAAGTTACCGAACAAGCAGAGACGGCAGCACCCCATTCCGGGAGCCGCTTGGCGCCGCCGCAGGGCAGCTCTACCTGGTCCCCGCCCCACTCTCCACTTAAGGCCCCGCCCCTGGCCACAGGGCAGCCGGGCACCACCCTCCACCTCGAGGCTCCGCCCCACGCCGCCCCACCTGGGCCAAACCTGGCCGGGCCGCAGGCCCAGCAGAGCTGTGATCTGGGCGCAAGTACAACACACGTGCGCACACACACACACACACACACGCAAGCACGCACACACTAACTCAAAGACGGTTTTAGCAAAAAGTAGACTTTATTACAGCAGCAACTGAGGCGAATCGAATGGCCCCCCCCAGGGCCACCACTGCAGCACCACCTTTCTCTCCCGCCCTTCCACCCCAGCGGGATTGTAGGACTCAGCTCCCCAATGCCCAGGGGCCTCCTGTCCACACAGGCTGGGCGGGAGCCGGCAGGTCAGCTACTAGCCCCCCAGCTAAAAGGCGGCTGCTGAGAAGACCCAGGCCCACATCTGTGCAAAACAAGTAAACAAAGTGCAGAGGGGAGGAAGAGAAGGGAAGGGGCAGGAGGATGCTCAGAACAAGGAGCCCCCAAGTCCTCCTGAGTAATAGAGAAGGGGCTTCACAGGGTAATACTGACTGGGGGAGGGGAAGGAGGGCTGCAGCACATCCAGGGACAGCCACAGCCCAGATAAGGGCCTGGCCGAGTGAACTCTAGGAGGAGACAGTGACAGCGGCAGAGCTGAGGGTACTGTTCCTGGCAAAATTGAACTTGTTCAGGGTCTCCTCCAGCAGGGAAGTGAGCCGGCTCTGGTCAGCCTGGGGGGAGAAACTCAATGAGACAGGAGCTGAGAGCAAAGGGGAGGGCAGCAGCTAGGGCAGAGGAAGCTCACCTCACTAATGAAGCCCAGCTGCACCAGCTCTGCTGCCAGTTCAGGGATGTTCTCATCTGACAGAGAGAAGCAGGGTGAGTGCTGGACAGGAGACAGGGCAGGGAGCCCTTCAAAACAACGGACCCAACCCAACCATCAACCTCAGGGTGGGGGATGTCAATGTGCTACTGCCTTGTCAATTCCTCTCTACCCCCAATATGGCTCTCAGGGACTTGCCATCCTCTAAGGGAAAGGGGAAGACTCACTTGGCATCAGGTCACAGCTCAGGTGCCGGTTCAGTTTGTCTTCCAGCTTCAGCAGAAGTGTCAGCTAGAAAAAAGAACAGACTAAGGCTCCTTTCTCTACCCTCCAGCCACCCAGCACTATGCAGCCCGACCCTCAGCCTTACATGGTGTTTGACTCCTTCCTCCACTGACTCAATGTTGCACTGCATCAGTACCACCTAGGACAGGAAGGAAAGCACAGGATAGGGTGGGTGGTCACCACTGTGAAGCTCCCCACACAGGGAAGCTGGTCCAGCCCACACAACATGTGCAAAGAAGGCAGAAGTACTCTTCACTAAAGGACAAAGCCTTATTTAATACGTCCCTTCTCCCATAACATGGACACAATGACACTCAGCCCCCACCTTGCGGGTTTCCACTTCCGCTGGCTCAGGTGTTGGAGTCTTGACAGAGGGGGGTACAACAGGTGATGTCACCTCCTCCTGCTGGGGCTGCTGGGGCCGAGGCAGGCCAAAGGCTGTCAGAGGGTAGATTCCATTCCTGGAGGGAAATGAGACAGGTCTCAGGGGCACTGTGAATGCCTGCACAAACTTGCTCCCAATTCCTCCAGCAAACCTGCCCTCCCAGGCTTTTCTCACCTGACATCTTCAAGGAATTTGTCTAATTCCAGAGCTGGTGACTGGGAGTACCTAGAGAAGAAAGGAAACATGATGGAAGGAAAGCAAAAACAAAACAGCAGACTCAACCCTTCCCAGATAATGGGCACTTTAAAGAGCCCTGGGATGGTAATAACCAATCTGTCCCTTTTAGACCCTCTCAATTTTACTCACAAAGTCTGAACTGGTTCTCTTCCTGGTCCAGCAGGGATTTCAGCCAGTACAGCACTGGTATCCATGTTTTTGGTGATCTCCTCCAGAGCATTCTCTGGGATCATGTCTGAAGGGCATGATAGAGTGGGCTGTTATGGTGGGCTAGGACAGGGTCAAGAAGGCATGGAGGCACAAGGGGTAAAGAATTCCTTTGAAAGTAGGAGGGGAAAGAGAGCCTTCCAGTGAGTTATAAGGCTCCCTGAAATAATGAGCTAAAAATTTCTTTGCAAGAAATTTTTTAGCAGTGTCAAGGGGACTCACGTTGGTGTCCCACAATACAGTGAGCAGCAAGGAGTTTGAGTGAGGGCACTTCAAACAGTGCTGGGTGGAACAGAAGTTCTCTGGCTGTTGGTCTTCGAGCAGGCTCAGGTTGCAGGCACTTTTGAATGAACTCCTAAAAAAAAGAATGGGACCAGGCATCCAATATACCCATCCTGTGCTCATCATACACTCATCACAAGGCTTGGACAAAAAAAAACCACACACACAAGGCTTGGTACACACTAGATGCTTAGAAACTATTGAAGAAACACACTGATAAATGTGTCTGAAAGGGCTTTGAAAATATAAAGATATGACTTTCTAGTTTTTATTTTCTGCTTTTCAACCAGCCTTTCTTTTTTGTTACTATTCAGTTTTCTTTTTTTGTGTGGAGCTGGGGATTAAATTCAGGCCCTTGCACCAAGTGCTTATTCAACTGAGCTATCTCCCCGGCCTCAGTTTTTTTTTCTTTTATTGGCCCACTTACTACTTTTCTCCTGAAATTCTCATCAAATTTAGTTTCTCCCCAAACTTAATCCATTATGTATTTTTCAAAATTTTATTTATTTATTTGATACAGGGTCTCACTACTCAGACTCCTAGTGATCCTCCTGTCTCAGCCTCCTCAGTGCTGGGATTACAGGAGTGTGCCACCACACTCAGTTTCCATGGCCGGCACAGTTTGCATGGCATGTGGCACCAGGAATTGAACTCAGGTCCTTGCACTTGCCAGGCAGGCACTTATGCCAGCAAGCTATCGCCCCAGTCCCCCACTGTGTAATTTTTTTTTTTTTTTCCTTTTGGTAAGTCTAGTAAAATTTCCTTTGTCCACTACAACTACTGAAGTCCCTGGCTTTCCCATGTTTCCTCTAGCCATTCTGTATATATGGCTTTTTGTACATGTGTTTTGTGGTCCCAGGACTCAAACCCAGGACTTTGTGCTAGCCAAGCAGGCATTTAGGCCACTGAGCCATATCCCTGGCTTTTCTAGCCATTCTGTTTCCTTTTCCACCTCTTGCAGGTCCCAGGACAATGAACCTACTTTTTTACTTCTCAGCTACAAGGCCAACAAGATCATATACCTAATTCTTCACTTGAGAAACACAGTACTTCCTAACGTGTACCAGAAGCGTACCCCATAGTGTCCTCAAGACTTTCACTAGTCTTCCTTCTTTTTTCTTCTGTTCCCCACCATGCTTCTCTAGTGAGCTGCAAACTATTTATGACCAGTCTATTAATAATACTCCTTAGTGGTCTGGAGAGATGGCTTAGTGGTCTAAAGCACCTACTTGGAACAAGCTTGGCAAAGCACAGGGACCGCGGTTCAGACCCCCAGCACCACATGCCAGC